CCAGATGACAGCCGTTGGCATCACGGAGAATGTGAAAGGGGACACGCGGAAGTTTGAGATCTGGTACAACGCCCGGGAGGAGGTTTACATCGTACAGGTAGGCCCGGCGCGTGGGGCCGTCTCCCGGGTGAGCCCGCAAAGTGTGTCCTCGGGGGACAGGAGCACTCACCTCCCGGCATTGCCTCTGGGGCACAGGCACCGACTCCCGAAATCAAGGCCGCGTGGGTGAGCGAGATCCGCAAGGTGCTGACCAGCCAGCTGCAGGCGTGTCGAGGTGCGGTTTCCTCCCGGTGCCTTCTGTCCTGTTGCCCTAGGGGCCCTTTCCATGCGTTCAAAGCAGCCTCAAAATTCTTACCCTCTGAGACACCGCAGCAACTGGAGCAGAAGGAGCTCCATTTGCTTTGAGTTCCTGAGCCGCGCTGGGCTTCTGTCCCCGCAGAGGCCAGCCAGCACAGAGCCCTGGAGCAGTCCCATAGCCTGCCGCTGCCTGCGCCTGCCAACACCAGGTGAGGACCTGGCCACCACCGCGTTGGGGGTCACCGTGGGAATTAGCTCGGGCCACCGAGTCCACATGGCCCCGTCACCAGAGTCCCCTGGTCATCAGGATCACTCTGAGTTTGCCCAGAGGCCCCTGCGTGCATCCCTGGACCTACATGCTGGTGGCCAGTCCCAGCAGGTCAGCTTCAAGGCCTGTGTGCCTGGTCCCTGTCCCAGGTGGAGAGCGGCCCCCACATCTCTGGTGGCTTCCGTCTGTGGTGCAGTTCCTGCTGTGACCGCGTGTGCGTGTGGCTGTCCTGAAAGCGGTCGAGCACCAGCATCTCAGTGCTGGTCGCGCCCCCAGCAGACAGGGGCCCTGGGGTGCAAGGAGCCAGAGCTGCTCCCAAGGCACCCAGCTCGCAGACGCGGGGGCGAGTCTCACATCGGCATCGTTGCACCTTTTCTGCTCTTGTTTTTCCTTTGTTATTTCATTCATTCACTTGCTTTTTACCTTTTCCTCACATGTGCTGCCTCTAGTCATTCATGGAACAGGATACAGTCTGAATAAATAAACCGCAAAGCAACAGGTTTAAAGGAAGAAGGACAGGGAGGGAGGAGAGGGGCCCACAAAGCCGCCTCCCACATAGCAGCTCGGAAGGCGGGTTTTGCTCTCACCTGGCTCCGCTGCTCAATCTGGACGCACGTGGCCGTGGCAGCTGTGCAGCGGGAGACGCGCGGCCGTCGGGCCTGGGGAGGAGCTCGGGGGTCTCCACCCCTCATCCTCGGAGCTTTGACAACTAATTGGGCGACACTCTCTTTCTTTCTTGACGTGTCCGATGTCCTCAGCCCCTTGAAAGGGAACACAAGAAACATCAAAAAGTTGGAAGAAAGGAAAACAGACCCGCTCAGCCTGGAGGGATATGTGAGCTCCACATCGTTGCCGAGGCCCCCGGACAAGGGCAGAGGTGGGTGTTGGGGCCGGG